AGGCGAGCAGTCCAGGAGGCTGCTCTTGCCAATGCCGAAGGGAGGCAGGGGCTGCAGCTGCAGCTCCTGCTCGAGCTGGCGTGGGGAACAGGCTAATTCTGGCCTGTTCCCGAAACCCTGTTTCTGTGCCTGAGTCTTAGGTAGGTCAAACACAATGAGGGCCTGAAAATGGCCCTCCGTTTCAGGCTGAAAAGCCTCTGGGCCTGAAAGGCCCAGAGATAGGCTGAAAACGGAGTAGGGCCTGCAGGCCCTCGTTTTTCAGCTTTCACGCTGAAACGACCGGGGCCTGTAAGCCCTAAGTTTTAGGCTTTTAGGCTGAAAGTGCGGGACGGGCCCTGCAGGGCCCATGTGGCTACACAGACCCCCCCCTCCTTGAAACACCGAGCTTACCTGCGAGGGCGAAGCTGTCTGTCTGAGGGAGGGACCACAGTCCGGGTGGGAGGGGCAGGTCGTGGGGGTCCCTTGGCTAACCTTTGACGCTCGTAGTGAGCGTAGATCAGCGGTGCGGATGCTTTCAAATCTGCTCCTGAAATCCACCGAGTGTCGTCGGGATCACATGCTCTGAATGTAACTTTGTACTGTCGCGGCTTGCTGCCGTACTTGCGATCCGAGATGACGCGGTCAACTTCCTGATGACCATCCATAGAAGGAGGGTCCTGCGATCGTCGGCCCGGGAAGTCGTCGCTCTTAGCTAGTGTATATGTTGCCAGCTTCGAGGCGTGAAAGACTGGATGGACCGTCAGATGCTCGGGAATGTTGATCACAAATGAAGGGCCATCGGGCTCATTGCCCGTGGCTGCTGTCACAGACCAAGGTCCAAACCACTTGGGAAGCAGTTTGCATGTAACATCCTGTTCCAGTGCAAACTCTTCCGCGGAGACCCAAACCAGATCACCGGCGCGGATGGGACATGGTACGCAACGCCTGTTGGCTTGCTGCTGCATGCGGACTTGAGCCTTTTGCATGTTCGCACGGGCTTGAGTGAGCAATTCCCTGTACTTCCGGACGGAAGCGGGAGAGCAAGCAGCGTCAATGTCGGCTGGTCGAGGGAGGAGAAGGTCGGCGAAGATCCAGCCTTTCCGTCCACCCTGGTGCAACTCGAATGGAGTCAAGCCGATCGCCGGACGCACCGAAGTGTTGTAGGCGAACTCGATGTCGGGGAGGCGATCAACCCAATCTTTCTGGTCCGGACGGATGAGCGTACGAAGCATCATTTGAGCGGTTTGATGTGCCCGCTCCGTTTGCCCGTCCGTCTGTGGATGCGGAGCCGATCTTGGTTTCATCTTCGTGTCGGACTCCTGCATTAGAGCAGTCCAAAATGCCAACATGAAGCGAGTGTCGTGGTCGCTGACTATGTCTTCTGGTACACCGTGGCCACAAATCCAACCAGTGTGCAGGAGGCGTGCCAGCTCGGGAGCCGTGGAGTAGTACTTGCAAGGGAGAAAACGCGCGTACTTACTCAATCGGTCCACCACCGTGAGGATGCCATCGTCCCCGAGCCGGTCGCGGGGAAACGGACCGGTGACGTCCATGGCAATGGAGAGACTAGGTTCCCGTGGGATACGCATCGGGCGTAACTCGCCGTAGGGATTGCGGTTGCGGGGCTTGCTGCGTTGGCAAACTTCGCAAGAGTTGCAATACCGAGTGACATCGGTAACGAGATCGGGCCATCGGAATCGCTGTCGAAGCCGTGCAATAGTGCGGTTGACTCCGAAATGGCCGGCGAGTCGCGAGTCGTGGTACTCCCCGAGAAGGCGAGTCCTAAGACGACGGTCGCGTGGGACACACAATAAGTCCTTGCCTCTCGAGTGGAGGAGCAAGTATCCGTCAACAATGCGATAGTGGCTGGCCGACGGGTGATCCGAAGATAGTTGTGCGTACAGCGTGGCGAAGTCCGGATCAGACTCATATACCCGGATGAAGTGTCGCTGAAGCTCCTCGTCTAATGCGAAGGCATGATGTGTCATAGCGCAAAGATCAGGTCTTCGCGAGAGTGCATCTGCTGCGCGATTTGAGAGGCCGGGAAGATGTTTCGGTGTGAAGTCAAATTGGTCGATGAAGTACATCCATCGTCCGATCATGCTGCTCACCGTATCCTGCGTCTTGTAGTAGGTCAATGGATTGTTGTCCGTAACCCATGTGAACCTACGACGCCCAAGGAGGAAGTGCCGCCATCGCTTGAGAGCCATGACGAATGCGAGCAGCTCCTTCTTCCTTGCATCATCAAGCGAGTTGATGGGAGGCACTTTGTGGCTGAAATACTCCACAGGGTGCTAGTCGTCACCGTCGTGTTGTTCCAAGACTGCCCCAATGCCATAGCCGGAAGCGTCCGTAGTCACTCTCGTAGGCAGGACGGGTTTATAGATGCTATGGACGGGTGCCATGAGCATGGTCGTCTCAAGTGCTTGGAATGACCGGCGTGCGTCAACATCGAATACGAATGGCACCTTTGGCGACTGTGACCTCGTCATAGGTGCAGCAATCCTGGAGTATCCAGTGATGAATCGCTGATAGTAGCCCGCCAACCCCATGAATGAACGAACGTCCGTGGTGTTGGTGGGCTCGGGCCATACTCGTAGGGCCTCGATCTTGTCCGCAAGCGGACGGATGCCTTGCGGCGTCACATAGTGTCCCAAGTACTCCAGCTCCTGCCGCGCGAATTCGTACTTGTCGCGGTTGGCTTTGTACTTGGCTTGTCGTAGCCGCTCCAAAACGGTGCGCAGGTGTTCCACATGCTCCTCCAAACTCCGGCTGTACACCAGGATGTCGTCGAGGTAGATAAGTACGTACCGATCCAACATATGTCGGAACTCCATTGTCATAGCTGCTTGGAAAGTGGCCGGGGCATTCGTAAGGCCAAATGGCATAACCAGCCATTCGAAACGCCCATATCGCGTCTTAAACGCGTTCTTGTAGCGATCCTCCTGCCGGATCTCGAGTTGGTGATATCTCGACTTGAGATCGAGCTTGGAGAAGAACTTGGCGCCGCCCAGTTGCTCGAGAAGATCGTCGATGCGTGGGAGAGGGCCGGCGTTTCTACTCGTCTGCGCGTTGAGCTTGCGATAATCGATGCACAACCGCAAATCCTTGTTCTTCTTCCGGACGAAGAGAACAGGAGCACCGTATGGCGATGAGCTAGGCCGAATCCAGCCTTTCTCCAGAAGGTCGTCGAGTTGTGCCCGAAGCACACTTAACTCTTCCTTGCTCATTCGGTAGATGCAGCCGCGTGGAGGTACGGCCCCGTCCTCGAGGATGATCTCGTGGAGGATGGGCCGATCCGGTACTACTCCGTGCGGGCCTTCGAACACGTCGCTGTAGGCGTCGAGAAGCTCGGTGATGCGTGGATCCGAAGGTGAGTCCGTCGATGAAGCGTCATGGGGCGGGAGGGCGTGGAGAAAACACACCCCCATCTCCTCGATGTCGTCTCTGATGATGGAAGCTCGCATGCTTGCGCGGATACCACGTGACAGCTGACTGAAGGGTGAGGAGGAGCTACCGTGCATGGGACTAGTACTTCGTTCCGATCACGAACGTGAACGGTGCGGCGGTATAAGTTCACCGGGTGGTCCTCGCTTTGCAGCCATGACATGCCCAAGATCATGTCGAATTTGGTGTCCAGAATGTCAAAGGACACCGCCTCACTTGCGTGAGGGGCAAAGTACACTGGGACGTCATCAATGCACCGGTCGATTGACTTGTGCGTGTGACCGTCCGCCAACGGGACTTGCGTGGGCTGGGACTTCCTTCGGACTCGTGGGCCAAGGCCGGCGCGTACCATGAAGTCCTGACTCATGTAGTTGCGAGATACTCCGCAATCGATCAAAGCGCTACAGGTCACCTCCCCGATCTGAATGCGTACATATAGCAATAGTGCGTCGATGTCGTCGTACCGTTGCGTTTTGAACTCGCGGTCGATCTTCGCAATGTAGGCATGAAGGTCGACAACCTCTACTCCGGCGTCCATCAACGGAGTCGGTACTGCAGTGTGCAAGTAATCCCGCAATTGTGCTTTGAGCACGTTGCAATGCAGTTTCGGCAAGCGACCGGACCGGGGCAGGGGCATCCATTGGAGGTCCTCAAAAGTCAACGGGTCGAGTTCTTCAAGACTTGACCATGACGTTGAATCCCCGGAGGTAGATGACGACGAAGCTGCCGAATCGGTTGCCAGTGGTGATGAAACCGTGCATGCGGTAGATTGTTGCACGTGGAGCGGTTGGTCCAACGGTGGAACCAAGTGGACAGCATAATCCTCGTACGTGTACCGAGGACTTGCGACATTCGCATCCTCCCCAGATGTGTAGGAGGCCGCTAGCAAGGCGGCCGAATCTGGCGGAGTGGGGGGTGGAGTCGCCTCACCTCCCGCGAAACTCAGTTTCCCGAGTTGAGCCAAGGCCGCACATCCTCCTTGGCCTGATCTTGGCAAAGAGAGGTCTTGTGCTTGGTGCTGTTGCACCAGTAGCAGCAGCCGTCACGGCCGCGGTACTTGTACTCAGGCTCGGTCAAGCCGAACTTGACCCATGGTGGCGCTGGCTGTCCATTTCCGGCCTGCGATGCTGGTTTCGCCTTCCCATTGTTCCGGGACTTGTTGTTGCTTCGCGGCTGGACAGCAGCCACCTGATCTCCCTCACGTGATGCTGGAGTGGCTGATTGGTCTTCTCCACTGTCCGACTGGACTGCAGCGAAGTGCTGCGGTCGCGGACCAGTTCGTACCTTCTCCACATAGGTGGGCAACTGACCTGTTGGTCTTGATGATCTCCCTCGCCTTGTCAATGATTTCGGTGAAGGTGGTGTATTGCTCGCGATCACCAAGAGCCTGGCTCAATGCAGCACAGGACCTGTTGTAGAACTCACGGCGCATCCGTCGACGCCGAACCGATTGGGCACTGCCACAATCTTCTGCCATTCCGTGAGCCTGTCTCGTGTTGCGGTGTTGCCCTGTGACATGGTGAAAAGACGGTTGATGGCGAGTGCCGGCGCGTCGTCGACGATGAACCGTTTCTTCCACAGCCATGTCAGTTCCTCCCATGTGATCTTGTCCTTCAAGTCTGGTACGTCGACGCCGTGAGAGGTTGCCAGGTGGGCCAACCAGGTCTGGCATCCGCCCTTTGAGTTCATGAACAGGGCGCCGATGTACGCATGCTTAGCGACACGCAGAAACCGAAGTTGCGTCGTGAATGCTTCCCACCAGAGGACCGGATCCTGCTGCGTGTAGTCGTCGAACCTGTCCAGTTGGAAAGTTGGCATCTTGTACAACTTAGGATTGCCATCCGTGTTCGTCGACCGCAACTGTTGGACCTCGGTCTTCAAGGTATGCAGCTGACTGCTGATGGTGGTCCGCGCAGCGAAGGTGCTGATGTCGCCGAGCATTGCCACTACGTGGTCAACGCGTTCCTCCAGTTGGCGGCTAGAGGGTGCACTGCTGGAAGCCCCAGCATCTGGTCTTGGTGGAACTTGTTCCACGTCCTGTACACGGGCGTCCAGTGCCCGTGTGGCATCCTCGTGCTGAGTCTTATGGTTCCGCACGGCCCGCTGGAGGTTCGCCAGCTCGGACTGTAGGTGGTTACAAGTGTAAACCAACCTGGTCACGAGCTTGGCTATGAACTCCTTATGCTGTTCTTCCGGTGTTGCCTCGTCGCCGTTCGGTTCAAAGTGCCAAAACTTGAATCTCTCGATGTTGTTGGCTTCATGCCGCTGCAGCAGATCCTGGGCTTCCTTGCGGCGAGCCTGGGCATCTGCGTCTGCTTCAGCCTGTAGCCGCAGCTTCTCTGCTGTTTCCGCTTCTTCAGCCTGTAGCTGGGCAGCCTTGGCTGCCAGCTAGCGTTGTTCCTCAGCCTCGATTAAAGCGAGCTGAACCTGGAAGCGCTTTTTGTAGTCGGCAATGGGCTCATTGGCCAGTTGGCCTGGCAGGCCTGTCGTGTTGCTGACGTGGCACTGCTGACGTGGCACTGTGTCTGACGTGGCACTGCTTACGTGGCACTGTGTCTGACGTGGCACTGCTGATGTGGCACTGTAGCTGACGTGTCACTGCT